CCCCCCTCTGTCTGTAAATACTTTAGCAGAGTTAGCTGTATCCTGTTGTATAGAAACGTTGGTCTTGAGTTGGGCTGAGGACCCTCTGCTAATAGCTAGTGGGAGTTTAGCAGAACATGCTAGTAGAGAGGAGATCCGGCTGCAGTCCTGACCTCCAGGGCTAGTTGGGAAGTAACTGGGCTTCTCTGTAACTGCCTCCTTCTCCATTCCCGCAGGAGAAGAGATGAAGCAGCTCCACCTGTTGTGGCTGGCCAGCTTCCTGAGCTGCGTGTCAGGCTGCCCTGAGGTCTGTGACTGTGGTGAGAAGTATGGCTTCCAGATCTCGGATTGTGCCTACCGTGACCTCCAGTCAGTGCCCTCCGGCTTCCCGGCCAACGTCACCACCCTCAGCCTTTCTGCCAACCGTCTGGGAGACCTGGGGGCAGGTGCCTTCGATGAGGTGCCGCTGCTGCAGTCACTGTGGCTGGCCCACAACGAGATCCGGGTTGTGGCCCCTGGCAGCCTGGCCACCTTGGTCTACCTCAAGAGCCTCGACCTGAGTCACAACCTCATCTCCAACTTCTCTTGGAATGACCTGCACAATCTCAGTGCCCTGCAACTACTCAAGATGGATAGCAATGAGCTGGCGGTGATACCTAAGGATGCCTTCAAAAACCTTGGGGATCTGAGGTCCCTGCAGCTCAACCACAATCGTTTCCTGACTCTGGTTGATGGCACTTTCGAGGGCCTCACCTCCTTGTCTCACTTGCAGATCAACGACAACCCTTTCAATTGTACCTGTGGCTTGCTGTGGCTCAAGGTGTGGGCCGTGGCCACGGCAGTCTCCATCCCAGAGCAGGACAACATTGCCTGCTCTTCACCCCCCTTCCTCAAAGGCATCCCCTTGGGCCGACTTCCTCCTCTGCACTGTGCCCCTCCCACGGTACAGCTCACCTACCAACCCAACCAGGATGGGGCTGAGCTCCGGGATGGTTTTGTCCTGGCCCTGCACTGTGACACTGATGGGCAGCCCCCACCAGAGGTCCAGTGGCGGATCCAGACACCTGGTGGCAAGGTTGAGATCACCAGCCCCAATGTTGGGCCTGATGGACGGGTTCCAGGAGTGGCTGGGTCCCCCCAGCCCCGCTTCCAGGCATTTGCCAATGGTAGTCTACTCATCCCAGGCTTTGGGAAACAGGAGGAAGGGACCTACAGCTGCCGGGCCACCAATGAGCTGGGTAGTGCAGAGGGCTCTGTGAATGTGGCTCTGGCTTCTCCAGGGGAAGCCAGTGAGGATGCCCTGGGTCGGAAGTTCCACGGCAAGGCCGTGGAGGGCAAGGGCTGCTACACGGTTGACAATGAGGTACAGCCGTCTGGACCCGAAGACAATGTTGTCATCATCTACTTGTCCAGCACAAACCCCAAGAAGAATAGGGCAAATCCCCTTGAACAGCTGGGCCCCTGGATGCTTTTACTGTGCCTTTGTCACCTGGCCTTCTAACATCCCCCCTTTCCTTTCTTCCTCTCTGTGCCCCTCAATATCTCCACCTGGTTAGAGGATCTATGGAGCTCTCTCATCCAACCCAGTCCCTATCCACTGGCCTCCCGAAGATACCCTCAGACCTTTCTGGTCTCGTCAGGGGTGGAGGGAAACAGCTGACATTGCTTCCAGGAGGTAAAATAAGCTCTCTCCCAGTGTTTTGGAGTCTTCTTGTTGCCCCAAAGACCTGACAATGACTTCCATTGACTCATGACTTAGATGTCCTGAGAGGCCACTGGGTCACCAGAGGCAGAATGTCCATGACATGTGCCTTCAGTTCAACTAAAAAAAAATCTGAATTGTGTGCCTTTGCATACTCTCCACTCTTTTAGTTACCTCCTCACCCCCTTTAAATTAGCCCCTCAGACCTCCTCTCAGCTAGCTGGGGATAGCTCTGAGAAACCAATTCATTCCAAGGTGCTATTAATAACAGCTTCCATGTGGGTTGCCCGCCTCAAGCGGATTCATGTCCCAATCTGGGCAATATCTGAGGTGGAAGGAACGAAGCTTTCATGGTAGAGTTCTGGGCACTATCAGAAGCAATGGGGGAGATATTAAGGAGAAGAGAGTCCTTCCTATGTCTTCTCGCCTCATTTCCATGGGCAGGGATGGCCCTGATGGGGTCATTGAGTGATGGCGGCAGAGACCATTCTGGGCATAGGCGAGGGAGACAGAGAAGGGAAAGCATCAGGCCATGGTGATATGCCTGGGTGGTGCCTGGCCTCTACCTCCTCTCCTCTGATCTCCACCTGTCCTCCCTCTCCCCAACCTGAGCTCTTAGACACTCTCATCCACAGGAAGGGGGCCTTGAGAAGCATCCTCCCTCTCAGATCAGAGGAAATAAACTGGTGCCATCTGAACCTGTCTCTGTCCACCAAGAGAAGGAGGGTGGGTGTGTCTTCAGTTCCCTTCTCCTACTCCCTCAGCTGCCTATGGCCTCCCTCAGCCTTCCTGCCTCCTCCCTCATCTAAATGTATTCTCCTAGAGACCCTGTCCCACCTTGCACCCTTGAGCACTGTTGGGACAGAAGGGGGCAAAAATATTGCCCATTGTAATAAATAATATTTCCCATGAGGCCTCTGCTGTTTTGCATGGAGTGGCATTTGCTTGGGGGTGGGAGGGTAGAGGATGAGGGAGGGGATATCCAACATGAGAAGGGTCATCATCCCAAAATCTCTTGGATCTTTAGTAAAGGTAAATTGCCCTCAGAGCAACCTTGTGAATTTTGTATCCCCATTTCACAGATTGGGAAACTGAAAAGATTGGTTTGCTTCCCAACTGGTCCCAGATGTCTTTACCCAAAGGAATAAAACATTAAGTGAAGTCAGGTGTCCTAGCCACATTCACACAGCTAGTGTGAGGCACGGCCAGGTCTTCTGGGACCTCAGGCCACTTCTTCAGGAGCTCATCAGTCCAAAGGGGGAAATCATAGATAGCAACATGAACACATTAGCACATACATGTTACCTGTGAGATGGAAAAATCCCAAGACGTCCCCTTGAACTCATCACATCTAGGGAAAAGGAAGAGGAAGGGGACACAAAGCCTTTGATAGGCTGCTTATGCAGGTGTCCCCTGCTTGAAAAAGAGCTAAGATCAACAAATTAGTCCTTCCTCAACTTAATGCATCAAGATAAAGGGAAAGAACTAGAAGGCAAAAATGATTAGCCCTGTAGAGGGAGAAAGGGCATTTCTAAGATGATCCAGGAAGCCAGGAGTTCAGGTGCCAATGGGGAACAGAAGAGAGAATTCAGTTTTATAATGAACATATTAGGGGTCTATGTAGATGAATATGTAAAATGGGGCACACCTACATATGAAATGCCAAGTTCAATTCAGGAAGCATTTATTAAGTACCTGCTGTGCTGTAAGGGCCTGTACTAGATACTGGAGATATGGAGAAAATAACAAAATAGCCCCTGCCCTCAAGAAGCTTATGTTCTATCGGGAGATACAACACGTGTGGATAAGTGTAGACAAGATAAGTTAGGGAGGGAGAGAGTATTGTCAATCCTGGGAGTAATGAATGGGAAAGTGACTTAGAAAGTATGATGTCTTCTTCAAATGTAGCATTACTGTCAAAACACTTGTAACCCGTGGGTGCAGAATCCCAGGTTTGGGTTTAACTGAACACATCCAACCTCAGAGTCACATGCAAGTCGTTCTCTTTGGCGTGTGTCTTCCATCCAGTGATTCCCCTGAGAACGTTAGGCTATGCCTCCTGTCTGGGTCTAGTACTAAGGAATGGCGAGGTCCGACTTGCTCCTTATTGGTCCAAGAGGAGTGAGAATTTAATGTGCTCCAAGAATACAACCACTTCTGAGCCTCAGTTTCCTTTTTTGTAAAATGTCCATGGCTATACAGCTAGTACTTAGTAAAGGTGGGAGCTGAATCCAGGCCTTCCTGACTAAATGCAGAACTCTATCCACTGCACCAATGATTCTCAGATTGTTGGGTCTCAGGATGCCTTTACACTTTTAAAAATTATTGAGGGCCCCTCCAAAAATCTTTTTGTTTATGTGGGTTATACCTACTGATATTTATCATATTGGAAATTAAAATATCTTAATATTATTATGAAAATGGTTTTGACTTTGCAGCTCCCCTAAAGGAACCTCAGGGCATTCCTGGGGGACCACACATTGAGAACTACTGAACTATAACTCAGCTGCCTCACTTTACAGAGGGATTCACAAGCAGGGGCCCTTTGAAGGAGAGATCCTCCATTTGTTTATGACCAGGGAGTAGGAATGAGGTGAAGGGGGTTAGGGTGATGAGATCAGAGATTATAGGCTCTGGGGGATAGGGATAGGAGTGTGGGGGAGCGTAGAATGAGGAAGCTTATGGAGGAAAAGGACAGAGAGCAAGAATGATTGGGGCAGAGTGCTAGGAGTGCATGGGTCTAGCTTATCAGTGTCGTTACAATGTACCACCAGACTTGAACACAATACTTCAAATTTAGTCTGACCTGGGCAGAGCACATAGGGACTCCTCATTCCCAGACACTAGGGTATGAGACTTGGAGTCAGTAAAACCTGAGTTCAAATTCTGCCTCAGACACTTACTAGGTATGTGATGTTGGATAAGTCACTTAACCTCTCTGTGCCTCAGTTTCCTCAACTGTAAACTGAGGAAATTGGACTAGATAACATTTGAATCCCTTCTATCTAGGATTCTATGATCTCAAGCATCCCTAGGTGTCCTTAGCATGTTTTTAGACAGCCACTTTCCATATTGCTGACTCACATTGAATATATGATACCCACTAAAAACTCCAAAATCTTCTTCAGACATGACACACTAGTCCTGCCTTCCCTGTCTTGTATTTGTGAAGCTTTTTTTTTTTAACCTAAATCTGAGACTTTACACTCTCCTAAATTTCATCTAAGTAGATTCAGTCCCAGCCTTTAGCTTGTCAAAATCATTTTGGATACTGGGTCAGTTCTCCCTCTCAGCTTGGCACCCTGCCAGTCTGATGATCTCTGCCTTTAACCAAGTCATTGATAAAAACATGAAGCAGCCCCGGGCTGAGGGCCAAGCACAGGAGAATGTTAGGGACTGTTGTCCCAGCAAAAAGGACAACTAAGAGACAAAAGAATTGGATTGAGTCTACCACTCACAGGCTTTGTGACCTTGGTCAGGTCATTTAACTTTGATGGGGCTCATTCAAGGTTTCTAGGAAGTCAATGGCAGAAAGAATTTTCCAACACTTGGGTTGATACCCATGTTTTAGGAATGTGGCTATTATATAAACCAGACATCAAGGAAAGCCTGCCCTGAATTTAGGGGCATCAAGAAGGAACCTAAGCCTCTGGTCTGGCCCCCTCCTTCACTTCTTCCAAGGAACGTCAGTCCAGAATGCCCCCTCCCTGTACCACCCCAGACAGGCTGGACACCACCAGGCTGTAGGTGGATGGGTTTCAGCTTTCTTGGACCGGCGTGTGGCCTCTTGACAGATGCTATTAGCTCTGCACCTCCCAGGGGAAGAGCAGCCCTGTTTGGGGTCTCCTCCCCTCCTCCCCCTTCCTTAGCCTCAGTCCTCTGTCTTTTGTCATCCTCCCTCCTCATTCACCCTCCTTCCCTCCATTGGCCTTAATTGCGGTTTTCTTAGGGCCTCATTACCAACTTCAAAAGGGCAGGGAAGCCGGAGAGCAGCAAACCGCCTTTCATTGAGTCCTTGCCCCTGCTTTTAACTCAAAAAGTTGCACCAGGTTTTAATTGCCTGTGTTACGAAACTCAAGGAGAAGCTGAAGATGGAAGGCAGAGGTTGGTAGACCTGGCTGAGGCTTATGCAGTTGGGAGGAGGTGGGGGGG